TTGCGGTAGAACTGAGAGTTAACAACACTCTTTTCTTCAGAAAAGCTTCCTTTGAATTACGGGCCCACGGGGCAAAAAGGTTTGAAGTTTGTTTTCTATATTTTACGAAAGAACTGTTTTTTTAGTTGTTTGCAACCAATATCGCACTAGAGACTATGACCTGAGAGTGAATATGTCACATGTCACTCGAAGGGTACCATACTAAACATCCAAGCTGTCGAAAAGAAACTCTCCGACAACCCTTTCTCAGGTAGCTTAAGGCTCGTAATGTCCGACGTCAATTAACCTTTATTACTGTATTTTAATTTGTTTTGAGATGAGAAGAGAGAACAGGCTCAACTACGGGGAGACTATCAAGTCCTAATGTTGTCATGCCAAGGATTCATCCTATGGTTGAAGTTTGAAACAGGGATCTCCTAGAAGTTATCATGCATAGGTTTCAACCTAAAGTTCTATCATCACTTCCTTATCAAAGGAAGTGAGATTCCTAGGGGATCATGTCAATGATAAACAGAAACAGGTAAAGCATCAGCTTAAACAGTAAACAGTAAACGATTGTAAAATGCATGCAATGCAAGTGAGGGAGGAAATGTGTATGGGGTGTCAGCCTCCACAAGCTCATCTTAACCTCAAGCCAGATATGAATAACTGTAATCATACATAAAAAATAACATGCTATCAAGAAAAATAGAAGTAACTGCAATCCTACAGAGGAAATGAAATGCTATCAAGCAAACACAAACCACATAGGCAAGGGAGCTGGGCTCTACCGAATACCCGCAAGCAAAGCCATACAGTAAAAATACAAGCAGAGGGAGCAACTCAACCTCTAGTGCAATCATGCTCCTAGATTAAAATCAATCTAGATATGAACTTATTCTAATGCATCAAACAAGTCAAACAAGGCACATCAATACAGTTGCACATCAAGCCAACAGACAAGAAAGAAAGCAAGTCAACAGCTCTCACAGCTTCCCAGCAAAGCTCTTCTGACATCAGCTCAGTCATCAGAATTCACCTACCCTTCAAGACTATCATCTTCAATAGCAAGTGTCAACTTGCTTCTCCAAGTTTTCAACACATCAACCATAAGTATCAACTTATTCTTTCTTCTTCAAGCTTCAACTCTCAAGTCAATTCCACCTTCAGGCTTCACTCCTAACTACAAGTATCAACTTGACTCCTTCAGGCTCTCAATGCATCAACATAAGTATCAACTTATCCTTTATTCCTCAAGCCTCAGCTCTTCACTCAATCTCAATTTGATCTTCTTCACAAGTGTCAACTTGTTCTTCAAGCTTCAGCTCTCTCTTCTTTACCAGTATCAACTAGCTTTTCCTGATTTGCAAGCTTCAGCTCCTAGGGGTAATCTTCAATCACAAGGAAGCACCAAGTTCATACTTCAATCTTCTTCAAGCAAGGAACTCCATCCTCTAACAAGGGAGAAATATTCCTCTATCAAGAGCAAAGTTTGGGATGACTGGTAGCAGAGTGAAGACCAAAGGTCACCACTGAGCACCCTGTCATCAGAGAAAGGGACCCTCAAAGGTTATACCAACTTGAAAAGAGCCACACATCCTACCAAAGGAGGTATAAGGCCTTTACAAAGGGAACTTTCATCATACGGAAGAATGGAAGTGATCAACATCATCCATGTTTATGAAGGAAGAGAATCTATCTAGAGTTCTGCCTACAAACCCTAATCTTAACACCTAAACAAAACTACACCAAAAGGAGGGAAGGTCTTCAAATCCAAGCCTCTTAAAGCAATCCCATGCATCTTTAACTTGCCTTCATCATCATCCAAGAACAAGCAAAGCAAAACCCTAATCTTAGGGAACTAAAGAAGTTAATCTAGTTGAATTAGTGCCTTAGAATCATCCAAAACTAGCACCTAAACTAAAATCAATCAAAAATAGTAAACTATATTATAAATTTCTACAAAAATTCCTAAGGGATCCTAATTCAATTAAGAATGCCTCATACAAAAACCAGGGACTAAATCATCTATTAAGTCCTAAAATTAAGTCCTAAATCCAAAGGTATCAACCATAAACCCTAAAAATGGAGCTTCTAAGGTTTCAACCTAGAACTACCACTTACATTCATCAAAAAAATGTGAGAAAAATCTATGGGGATCATGCATATCTATGCTAGCCACAAACAAAAAATCAGGATCAAAATCATCATCAAATGATCACACAAAATTCCACAAAATCAACCATCAAGCATGACTATTTTAAAATCAATTAAAGTGTGAAAATTCCCATAAAATAGAAAATGAATGAAATAAAAATATTTTTTATCTAAAAAATTCTAGACCCTATCATGAATCTAATTCACAAAGAATGGGATCAATTGAATTATTTTTCCATTTTTTATGATTTTATCAAGAACCATGAATAAAATGAAGAAATAAAGAAAATCAAAATAAAATAACCAAGCGCGTGGTGCAGATAGTAATGAAAATCAGTTCATTCTGGCAATTGGGCCATGAGGGGGGTGTGGTTAGCAGCTAATGCATTAAGCCCAACACACAACTTAAGTGAAACGCCGCGTTTCACATTAGTTCAGAATCCTTCACAAAATGAGAAACATTCGTGGCCATTGGATCATGCCCTCAGTCAAAGTTCAACCCCAATCTGATGGCTATCAAGTCATCTTCTTCATTTGAAATCCTGAAACATGCGCGCAGCCATGGCCGTCGCCGGTGGTGCTCCTGTCATCGTCCCCAACCCTAACTCTCTCCATAGGCCTCCATTCCAAGAGGCTCTACATGAAACTCACTCCAATTTTCACAAGGAATCTTCCTATGCCATTTAATTATGCTAACAGTTCAAGAATCCAAGAATAACAATCTCAACCGAAAATTCCATGAACCCTAATTGGTCACTAATCTCCAAATTGATGATCCAGGAATCTTCCTACACCATTCTACTATGCATCTACCATAACAATTCATCTTAATTCTACCTAATTTAAGCCATAGCACAAGAGTTGCATACCTGGTAAACTCGAGCAAACAGAAGGGTTGAATCTTCAAATCAACCTTCAAGAATTTGCAGAATCCTTCACTGAATCACAATCAATCTTCTGTATGCAAAGAAAAGAGTTGAACCTTCTTGAATTATCAAATCCGATTCTGAGTTGCAAGCTTCACTCTCCAATGGCTACTTCACGATTCTTCCACCACAGTGCCTTGAATTTGATCTGGAACTGATCACCAACCTCAGAGCAAGCTATTGAGATCAATTTCTTGGATTGAAATGGCCTCTACCCTTGTAACTGATTTTGATTTGCAATGAGAAAGTTCAAAGTGCAAGCTCAGTTTTCTCTCTCAATCATCACCAAAAAATGATCTGAACCACTTCTATTCAATATATAGAGTGCGTAGGGATGATCTAGGAACGTCTAGATCCTTCTAACGAGAAGATCAATCTCTCATGACATGAGAAGTTCACTTGAATTCTCATGATATGCCATGGTATGCACAACTTCTGCTAACAGCTTGAAATCATTCTCAATTCCTTCCAATTTCTCCCCTCATGACATTTTGGTAGTGTTTGGCTTGCAAGGGACCTTGATCATGCCTTGATTCTAGGTTTTGCAAATGTTACTTATGATGTAAGTAACTACTTTTCAAAGCAAGTCCACAAGTTGAAATTCAATTCAAAAATGTGGCTAAACAAATGTTCTTAAAATGTTTTTTAGAATCAAAATGATATATTACATGCCTTGGTTTGGACATGTAGATCAAAAATATCAATTTCCAACTTTGGTTCATTTAACTTATACCCTTATTTTAGGTCATTTTTGCAACTTTGAGCTACAAGCACTTCCAACATCTCATGACCTCTTGAATAGCCTTAAAACATCATTTTGAACAAGTTTTATGTTGAACATTTTCCCATTTGAAGCTTGGAAATAGGAGTTATGGCCTTATGGTTGAAATGACCTATAATCTCCAAATGACCAAAATGCCCTTGACTTGTCAAAGCCATAACTGGAGTTCTACAAATCCTATCAAGGACTTATAGTACTCTCTAGAAAGCTAAGAGAATAAGGAACAACATTCATGTTGGCCAAAAGTTAATAGGAATCATCCTTCTAGGGAAAACGTTTCATGCAAGTTGGACAACTTTCAAGCCTCCAAATTCACATACCTCAGATGACCTATAACTTGTCAAAGTCATAACTTGAGTTCTACAAATCCTATCAAGGACTTCTAGCACTCAAATTAAAGCTAAGACCATGCTATACAACATTCATTTTGGGGGCAAGATGAGATGACAATCACATCTTGAGCTAAACTGCCTTGAAGATAGGGGTCAAACTAGGGGATTTTACACTGTCAAGCCTTAGAAACCCTAGCTTGAAACTTCTCAAGCTCTTCAATCATGATGAGTTGACCTTGGAATCATCCTTATAACATCTCAATGCATCAATCCATGATCACATGGCCTTTGAATTAGGTCTCAACCTCCTTCAAATCATCAGTTGACCCAGGGTTGACCCAGTCAAACCCTAATTGCACCACTCATGGCTGGGTCTTCTTAACCTTGCACAATGACCTGTCTAGGCCTCAAAGTGACCTTCAACACTTCTCGTGATCTCTTTCAAGGCTTCAAGTCCACATTCTTGGCTTCAGAATCATCTGAGGAGCTCCCACAACTCTCAAGTTAGGATACCCACACACTTGGCTTCAATCACTCTCTCTGAGGATCTTTTAATTTCTCTGACAAGGATATCAACCCATGAACACTTGAATAAGCTTCTTAGCTAGCTTCAAAGTCTTGTATAGCTCTTGATTGGTACTCATACCTCTTGATCTCCTGCATACATGTCAATGAAATGCAAATGATAATGCTAATGTGAATGAAATGAAACATAAGCTAGGTAGAGAAATGTTGGGCAAATTTTAGGGTGCAACAAGTAGTATCACAAAACATATGATTCAACATTGTCTATAGAAATAAAGCTACTGAATATTAGAACTCATCTTACGAACTATTGAAGAAAGGATACAACAATGCAACTTGAACGTAAAATGTTTGAGTTGTCAATAATGTCTCTTCAAGTGTTAACTGCATGGAAAAGGCTTTATCCCAATCTATAGCTGGAAGTACCAACAAATTTGTGGACTTTAGCATGAAGTTTCCATGATAAGTTGTGAAACGGACACCTAGAAGCATGGACACTTATTAGCAATTGTATTTGTAAGTGTGTATGTTCAAACGTATATGTTTAATTTTATATACACATCGTATAAAACCGAATATAAACAAAAGGAGGCAAGGAAGGTACATATTTCCAAGACATAACGAATGCACAAACCTTTTCCACATTTAACACGCATTACAGCTTCCCATGCAGTCTCTCTAGTGAGGTCTCTTCTTAATTCATGTCTCAATTTCTCCCCATGAATAGATGATTGGAAAGCTGGATAGTAATACACATGACCAATAGTGTACTTTGCCAGAGTTCCTAAACAGACAATAAAGCATAAATACATAATTTACATGGAGTATATGATCATTGACATTCACGACTATATGCTTAGAATACCACAGATTCTGACAAAACAATATCAAACAAAATTATTGTAAAAAAAAACCAAACAGAATTACATCTGGACAAGGGATGCATTATTTAAAGATATAAGTTATAACTACTACAAATTAACACATAATTTGTGAGTTCACTTTGAGCATTAACAGGCAATTTTTTTGCCTTGCCAAATTCTTCAATGAGAGTATCAGTTGAAATTCCACGCATAAGGGATGCACTATTTAAAGATATAAGTTATAACTACTACAAATTAGGAAGAAGAAACGAACAATTGTTTGTGAGCAAGAAAATAACAGATTGAAGAACAAAAGATCACCTTTAAAGGGTTTGAATTGACAACATAGTCAAAAGGTTCAAAATTACTAAATACAAAAGAATGGTGAGATTTTAGATGTATCTCTGGAGTTGAGTGCTACAGTTGGTAGGTAAATGTGTGTGTACTATCATACTATGGAGCCCTTATCAATGATTCCGCTGTTGCATTATGGGCTTCAAAAACACACTTAGCTATTGTAATCTGGGATTTTATAAAACACTAAATTGTTTTAGTTTTAGGCATGTCTAAAGAAAATAAACAACCTAGGTTGGTTATTTTTAAACCTCCAATACAGAAGATTATATTTTTTTAGTATGCACAAAATATTATTGATGTGCCTGCATATAAAAACAGTGCATTTATCTTGAAGTATAACCATAAGTTGATAAATATTCCATCATAGAAGATTATATTTTTTCTACACAAAAATTATTAATGTCAGGCCGAATTACAACTCTCCATCAGCACATGGAAAATGCCAAGCTCAAAACCAGTAAGAAAATAATATTGTAAAGAGCTACATTGGATAGTGATACAGCATGAAGAATGGTTATAAATTGGGAGTTGGGACAATCTGCATCCAATGAGCTAGCTTTAGGCGATGAGTTAGGCCTAAACCCAAATTCCAAAAAATATGACTTGACAGTGGTGAGTAAGAAATATCTACTAGTCCTTACAAACCTACAAAAACAAAAATGAGACTCTACCTTTATTTATTTTTTTGAAGAGGTTGGGAATATTTTCATCATCAAAAGGTAGAGTGCCGCAGAGAAGTGCGTATAAAATTACAACGCAGCTCCAAACATCTACTTCAGGTCCAACATATAATTTCCCAGAGATAACCTGTGCGAAATATAACAATTTGACCGAGAAGTATGAATCAGGATGAAATGTAAGTTATGAAAATGTATAAAGTATGAAAATGAGCAACGTCAACAACAATAACTTATTTAACTACAAATTTAAAATCCATAGATATACAAACCTCTGGAGCAGCATAGTTAGGGCTTCCACAACTTGTCTTGAGAAATTGGCCATCACACATGATGTTTCTCAAACCAAAATTAGCAATCTTGACACTCTATTTTGGGTCCAAAAGTAAATTCTCAGGTTTTAGGTCTCTATGAACTACCGTATTCCTGTGACGGTACTCCACACCAGAGATTATCTACTTCCAAAGTAGAAGTTAGCTAAAATACTGTGTCAGGTATAAGCCTCTCAAGTACACATAACATAAGAAATTATAACTGCTGGAAGAAACTGCGGGCTTCATCTTCTTGCAACCTACCCTTTTCTACGATGTAATCGAAGAGCTCTCCAGATTTCACATATTCCATCACCACATAAATGTCTGTTGGGGTTTCCACAACCTCATAAAGACGTATAATGTGATGATGCATGAACAATCTTAAAATTTTGATTTCTCTTCTCACTGCAACAGATTGAAGAAAAAATATTATGAGCATATTAACTCAACCAAGATAGCTTGAACCAAAAACACAGAATTTGAATACTATAGCCTAAGAAAATCAATTATCAACCTCCATATACACATAAAATATGTTTGTAACTTACATATGATGACAGTTTTTATGGAACTGTCGCAACCTATGTGTCACAAAATATTATTTTTCTTGTAGTGAGACTGAGTGTTCTATAGACAGCCATGGACTCCTCGTGGTCTTCTTTTAATGGAAGAACTCTTAAGAAAACAGGAAGGACCTATAAAATGGAACCAAGACATACATATACAACATCCAATAAGAAAATAGTTATCAAGTACAAACAACAAAATTAGAGGTGCAACATGCTATAAGTTTATAAATTCATATTTAATTGAGCGGGAAACCACTTGATTTAAAGGAATAGACTCAGGGTGCACCATAATCATCTTTGCCACAGCACCAGCGGCATTATCCCTCACTGCATGATTAGGCTCAGACTCATTGAACATGGGGTGAAGCCCACGTAATATATTGTCAAAGTATCTAGTATTGGATTAAAGAAAATGCAAGGCATACATGACTCAACCGTAAGAACTAAATACATCACTAACATTTTCACAGCTTAAAATGAGAACCATGCATACTAGAAAAGAGAGAAGGGAAGTAATAGAAACCATATTCCTGGTGGCAGAGATTCAACTGATTAGCGATTCCACCTCATATTGCTGAATGTTGCGACAGGTGTGCTAGTATGGCCAGAATGACAGTAGAAAAATAGCGATAACAGTAAAATCTAACCGATTAGCAATGATCATAACAAGAAACTGAAATCAAGCCCATGCACAAGAACTATCAACGACGACGGAATCTTCGTCGTTGCTCCTGAACAACAAATAACCAAACGCAAGACCAACCACAATAGCTATAAACACGCCACCTTTATATGACATAACATACAACATCATGAAATACCCGATCGCCGAGCTTAACCCGGACAGAACCGCTCTGGTGACTCTCACGCCTAATTTAGCTCCACTTCCTGTGAACGTCCGTTGAAGAAGAGACGCCTCGATCTATGCCGGAAACGGATTTCCGGAGGCCAACAGCTTGAGGCGAATACGGCGATTCTCGAGCAACTGGTAGAAAATGGAGACAAGGAGACAAGTGAGTAGACTCGGTGTGTAAAAAACAAGAACAAGACCATTTACATTTAGTGTCTTCAGCTAGTACATTTCATCAAACAGCTAGAAGTCATAAACAGTTATGCATTAGGTTTGTTTTCTCCTTCCATGAAGGCACCTCAAGTGATGGCATTATGCCCTGTTGGAACATTGATTCATTAGCTTCAAAACCAAAACTTCTAAGCTCATGATAACCATGATGAATGTTGCTGCATGGGCAAGAGTAGAGAAATTAGAGACTTATATAGAATACGTCTTCTTAAAATAAACATGCCCTCAGTGAATAATTTGTAAACACGGGTTAAAATTGATTGGGAAAATATCACTATATAAAGTACAGAAGGAAACAAACACGGTAACATCAAATTTTTAGTATTGACCTCCCTCCCTCATAACTAAACCAAAGCCCCAAACTTCTGAACCAATCAGTTCTGCCAATTTTATTTCAATTTTAACTAGGCTAGAATGTTACATCGCCGCTATTTGACAACACTTTGAACTGAATCGTGTATCGCAGAACAATGAGGATTTGTTCAAAGGCGCTATTTGATAACACTTGAACCAAACCAATACATCAATGATGATGGTGCAATTGAAACACAATTTTACCTGATATTGAAAATACTGATAGAACGGCCTTGCGATGCTTGGAATACTTATTGACGATTGCCTCTCGTATTGAATTTCGTTATGAAGGAGTCTGGAAATGTTTCCTTCGAAACCTTCTTTTTGCATTTCGGAGATGTAAGTTCTTCGGGAAATCATGTGAGGAATAGGAGAAATGCACACTCGTTGTTGTTGAATGTGAATTTGAGAATTTAGGGTTAAGATTTTTTTGAGGAAACTGCAACTTTAGAATTAGATGGAAGGGTTTAGGATTTAAGATAAGCAAGTGAGAATGAATTTGATCCCAAAATTATATTAGACCCAAAAGAAAAGAAAATATAATTTGTGTTTTCTTCTAAATATGTTTTTTAATTTTATTGTTTAAATAAAAGAGATTAATGTTTTAATATTTACACCCAAATTAAATCCTTTTTAAAATGTAGGCAAATAAATTTTTGAAATGATGTGAATTTTAAAATTAATTTTAATAAAAATAATTATTTATATAATAAAATAGAAAATATTTTACTATTATTTTAGACAAAAAATATTAAGCTACATTGTCATGAAAATTATAATAATTATTTATTAAATTAATTAATAAAATTGAAAATGTTAGAAAATAAAAATGAAAGAAAAAAGTGGAAAATTAAAGGAATAAAAAAATAGTGATTATGATTGGCTAAAGTAATTGCGACAGTTCGCCTTAACTGTCGCGAGTGTGGAAAGAGGGCGGTTCTTTGGTAACTGTCGCATTATTGTATACAACATGCTTAAAAAATTTGCGACAGTTGACTCAAATCGTCGTGAGAACTGTCGTAGTCCAGGAATAAGGACGGTTTTTTGATAACTGTCGCAAAAAATCTACGACAGTTGACCCTAACTGTCGTGACAACCGTCGTAATTCAGGAATAAGGACGGTTTTGAGATAACTGTCGCAACTCAAGTGTCGTAAATCTCCTTTTTTCTTGTAGTGCCCGTTCAGAACTTTCATCAGAGTCGTCAATAACTCGAGGAATATTTGCTCTGCGAACAAACCTGTAGGATCGTCGTTCATCACACCAAAAGTAGCCCATCATGGCAAAAGTTTTTGTGTTGAATTCTTTGTCGGAGGATATGGAGACACATGGAAATGATGGATACACGATGTTAGCCGCGGTGAGAACCTCTGAAATAAAAGACCCATAAGCAAGAGCAGTTCCTCTGCCTGAATCTCTCAAAGCAAAAATTCTGCTTGCGATATAATAAGGCCAGTTGATTTTAATCCTATTTTTCAGAATGTATATAAGATGAACCTCATCCTGTTCAATTCAGGACAAACCACCTTTCTTCGGCCGCAGGATGCGAGCCACAAACCATTGAAGAATGCGCTCCCCTGTTTGTAGTTTACCAGTCGTAACAGTTCTGGGAAAATCATCATTGTTTACAATATTCTCCGAATAAGGCCTTTTCAACATATCATTTAAGGCACTCTTAAATTCATATCCAGGCACGGTGCGAGAGTTAGTTACCTCATGAGGAGGTTGTTTATCAGCAGCCACAGTTAAATCAAAATATTTACTCCAAACTTCATAATTCAAGTTTACCTGTGTATTGCCGATGGTGGTGTGGAAATCCTGACCTTGAAACTTGTCATGCAGGCAAGTGTAGAACACATGGACTAAGTCTTCACTGTATTTGGTGTTACATTCCAGAAAGTTTACAAAGCCTTTAAACTCCAGCAGAGCCATGATTTGAGTGAGATGCATGCGCTCCGCTGTTGCTTTATAGAATTCATGTTGTGGAACAACTGCTCTCTTGCCAATATCTTTGTTGAAATTGTCAACAACAGGTGGTGGAACCAAAGATACAACAGTAATGGGTAGGGAGCGGTTGTTGAAGCCCTTGATCTTTTACCGGTATTTCTGCGGAATAGTGAGGCCATGGATGATGATTTTGGGGATTTGGTAGAGGTAGAAAGCATTGATTTTGAAAGGATTGTTGAAGATGATTTGGAGGAGATGAGGATTAACGCTTTTTATAGAAGGAGATTTAGGGTTTTTGTGAAGGAGGAGGAGACAAGGGGACACTAGGAATGACTAGATGCAGCTTACTAAAAATGCAATTCCAAAGCACAATTAATGTAGACTGCACATTTAAAGTAGAGTGTAGGAAGATGGAATGTTTTTCAACAGAAAAAAAATCTGAATTTTCGCGCGAGCCGTCGACCATACTCCTGCATGCATCGACGTATACTGTTTGATTTTTGACAAATTTAAAAGTGAACAGCGTGCGTCGACCGCTGCCCTGTTTTGTGGTCGACTCAAAGTGAGCAAAAATGCAGATTGTCGTTTTATGTCATATATAATGCCATATTTGATGCCTATTTACAATGCCATAACATAATTTGCATCCAAACACAAAATACTCGTATATATATATATATATATATATATATATATATATATATATATATATATATATATATATATATATATATATATATATATATATATATATATATATATATATATATATATATATATATATATATATATATATATATATATATATATATATATATATATATATATATATATATATATATATATATATATATATATATATATATACAATGTTGGTCAAACGATACACTAATTGAATCATGAATATTTAGAGAGAGAAAGAATATGGAACAATATCACCTCTATACCGGAAACGCTTGATAAAGATATACTTGTGCTTGCAACAAAACTTAACTTGTTAGAAGTACAAGAATGTCATTATAAATGAATTAAGACGAAGCATGCAATTTTTATACCCGATCCGAAATGTCGAGAAAGCCAAATTCTCAACGGATATGAAAGAAAGGTTCAGTGGCTAGCGGCTTTGTGAAAATCTCCGCTAGTTGATTTTTGGTGTCAACGTGTTCAAAAACAACGTCACCTTTCTCTACATGATCCCTCAGAAAATGGTGTCGAATTTCGATATGTTTGGTGCGAGAATGTAACACATGATTTTTGGTGAGGTTAATAGCACTTGTATTGTCACAGAAAATGGGAACACGCTATACTTTTAGATTAAAATCCAATAGTTGTTGCTTAAGCCATAGGACTTGAGCGTAACAACTACCGGCGGTTACGTATTTCGCTTTGGCGGTTGACAAAGCAACTGAAACTTGTTTCTTGCTGTGCCAACTGACCAAGGAGTTTGAAAATAAGTGACAAGTACCGCTGGTGCTTTTTCTATCCAATT